AATCTCAAAGGGGGTTTGACAAGGCAACATCGGTCGCCAAAGTTTACCGCCGCTGCAGTGGGTAATGAAATCACTGGATTGGAACGAGAGAGGTATACGAGTTAATAGGAGGTTAATCTAGAACCATCGTTTTGTGGATGACATTGTTCTCTTTTCAAGGAATATCAGTGAATCGGGGACGATGTTGAAAGAAGTAAACGAAGTAAGCGGGTAGGACTGCGAATCAACCAAAAGAAGACTCAGTTCATGAAGAACACTTTTTGCGGGTAAATGGAATCAGAAGGCTCTCCAACTCGGAGACGTCCTCTTACGTATATCTCGGGCGTTCGATGAGCGTAGAGAACGATCTGAAAGAAGAACTAAGCAGGAGGCAAAGAGCAGCTTGGGCCGTCTTCGGGCCCCTAGAGGAAGCTATACACCGATTGACGGATCCAGTCCGAAAACAACTGAACTGTATAAGTCAATTTAAGTCAACCGTTCTCCCTGTTACGCAGCAGAGACGAGACCTGATACTTGGCTACGTCGACGGCTGCCGAGCAATTCACTGAGCGCTGAAACGATGTCCTCTGATGTACCACCGATATACTCAACATCTCGTAGGACTTCGCAATTCAGATAAGAGATCAATGTCTCGTCTTCGCAATCCAGCGGAATACGTCTCTAAAGCAAAACATCGATGGACTGGTCATATAACGAGGAGGACAGACGACAGATAGACACTAAGAACTCTGGAATGGATCCCTCGCGTAGCGAAAGTCCGCGAGGGAGGACAGTGAGGGCTGACGCGTTCGTTGTACGAATGCACCAGCTGAATTCTCAGATGGTAACGATCTATGGATTGGACCTCGCGAAGATCGCTGCCGCAGTTCTGTATTAAGAACATATGACGCTAGCGAGAGACAGAAATGGGTGGCAATCGTAGCGTGACTTAAGGAGGTTTTCTCATATTTTGACTTTTCCGCTCATTTCATCTAATCAACGGGAACTCTAACTCTTTCAAAGACTTGTTGAAATGAGCACCAATCAGAGGAAAGGGAAAGATCCAACTATGCGAACGACTGCCCTCAACATGTCGTTTGGCTAAACACCTGCAAAACTGTATTGTAGCTGTTAGACAACTAGAAAAGATGTCTGCATATGCATCACAACATTTAGTGATACATCTACAACGGAAGAAAATTAAATTTTAAACTTATAGTTAACACAATTATAGTACAATTTTTGCTCCAACCGTATATAAAAGTCTTACTAGATTCAGCGTATTCGCAATACTCCTCGGACAGAACTCCATGCTTTTCTTCAAACTACAAATATGCTGAATTTGTAGAAACTTGAAGTTTGGAGCGAGGAAAGTAAACCAAACTGGGTGGAGTGCATAATATTTGATCTTCGGTACCCAACCTTATGCTTCATCTATGGTGAATGTTGCCTAGGTTTGAGTCTGGTTAGATTTTTGGTTCGCATCTTTTTATTGAGAGCTATTTTCGGTGCTGTTGGCGTCTAAGAGAATAGAGCATATGTGTGCTCTAATTTCCGGGCCTGACAACGCTTTGATGCCGAA